TATTCTGCTGCTTTATGTGATATATATTGTTGGGAAGATGTGTATGTATTGTATGTTGGTGGTACAGAGTGCCTTTCGACACACATGCGATTCGTGGCCAGTGAACTCACCGATCTTACTACTCAATTCGATGCTGATGCTATTGTCTATTCACTGCAACATTGCGCCAAACTTTGCTACGAAACTGGCTGCTCACTGGCCGCTTACACTCGATTCCCTCGTCCTGTGTGTCTTTTGCGCTACAGCATTGACACCGAATGCCAGTCTAACGGCACATTCGCTACAACTTGGAATTTCTCCAGCATTCAGGAAGTCGTCAGATTGGACTGCATCAGTTGTGGTATGTGCTAACAAGCTTACGTAGCCTTAATGCTTATTTAGCCTTCCACAGTTCGGATTACTCAACTACGCTTACTAATACGAAAAATTAATATTTACAGTCACTGTCAGCGAAAAGAGTCGGGGCGTGAGTTCTGGCGCGGCGCCAGTTTGTTTTCCATCTATCGTTGCGGTTTATGGCGTTCAATAAGTGGTGGAAAAAAGACCGGGCGCCTCGCCGAATCCCGTGCGCTCCTGGCATGCCCCGACTGACATCAGTGATAACAAAGGCGTCAATGTAGTGGAGAGTTGTAGAACCAGGGCACGTTCTACCGTTGGGAAGAATTTCGGGTAGTCCGATCCCCCCCTTATTTCCTGTGCTACGACTCCCCTCCCCTCCCCTCTCCCAACGGCGAGAAAATGCAACCCTTCTCTCCCAACGACGAAATGCGACCCCATCCCCCTACTGGGACTGAAAGTGGAACACGAAAAACCATCTATCAAAAAAAGTTTTCTCATGCCAAATACGACCCCGCCCCCTCCGTGCAGTACCAAGTGGGAACTCCTCCCCCCGCTCGGGTTAACTAACGTTCCACGTGCCGTAGGTACCACTCGGCCGTGACTCTGTATTGCATTCCCAGAACTCTGAAGCTCAGAGCACAGACAACAAGAGAATCGTAATCCACCGCTGGTGGGCATCGCGTGCGACGTCGCGTCGCAAATGACGATGATTCCAGGTAGTAGATGGCGACAGACAATCAAAACCCAAAATAGTCATAAATGTCCGATGATGGGGTCTACATGAAGTTCGGTGCTCCAATCGACAGGTTAACACGAGTTAAGAAAACGCCGCGCCCATCGCCGCGCGCGGCGGAGCGGCAAATTACGATTCTCTTGCCCGTCTCCCGCAGGGAAGTTGCTCGCAACGAATGCTGAGACGTGCCAGGAGGGCTGGGTTTGGCGCGGCCCAGTCTGTTCTCCGCTAATTATTGAGGGAGGCAATACGGTGAACATTAGGCTGGTTCCGTGCCAAAGTGACGCTCCCTGATACTCCCGAGCATCCGCAGCGGACGCTGGAATCTCCACTGAACCCTTGATTAGTGAATAGATACGTAGGAGCTGGTCGAGTGGTTCCCCTCTCCTCCCTTCAACTACGTTAGCATCACGACTGTAATATGAGAATCTATATCCATTTTATGGAACAAGTGCTGTTGGTGCAATCTGAACTGTGGAAATCGTCTGCTGGATTCTGTCCGCTATAGTTTGCTGTTCCGCTGCTAAATCACGAACAAATCAGTGG